TAGAACCTTTGCTTCGGTTGCAACAGAGCTGCTTGGTGCCTGAACCGCTGATCGAGCACTGGCAAAACCCACAGCCGGAGCTTCTAAATAGACCCGGTTTTGCTCAGCCACGGGGGGGGGTTCTCTCTCCTCCGGATTATGGGGTTGTTAGGAAGAATCTCGGGACTCGGGGGTCGCCTATGATTTTCGGGTCAAAGGGTTATTTGATTACCCGGAGGGCGGGGGGGGCTCCCAGGCACTGCGAGATGCTATCGCAATGGGGTATGTGCTGCCCTTCGTACTCATGGAGGCTTCGGCAATAAAATTATCGGGAAGGTGGTGTCATCTGAGAACTGCCAAAAGTTTGCCTAAGGTTGCCCCTTCTTGCCACATTTGTCTCAAGCTCTCTTGATGCGCTTGACTGTTGCTACTACTTGCATTTGTTTGCAAAACCTAAAGTCTTTGACGCCATGGCGTCGAGGATCCTTGCAGTGGCAAGTGCGGCCTGCATAGGATACGTCCATTCCATCCGGTCGACCTCGACCTCCGCCTACAACCTCAAGGCGACGGCGGCCCTGTACATCAAAAGCATGGAGGAGATTTCATTGACGAAGATAGACAAGTACAGCGAAGTGCCTGGAATGCATTCTCAGGACATCACGGCCTTCCTGACGGCCTTCGACCGGGAGGTGCTCCAACCCGAGCTGGACTACGATGGCTACAGTCGCAGGGTGACGGCCACGCAGGCAACGGTCGTCCTGGGAGACTTGCATGGACAGCTGTTCAACTTGCTCGCGTTCCTCCGTGACCTCCATACAAGGGTGAATGTGAAATACTTTTCCCTTCTTCCCGAATCCAAGCTTTTCATTTGCGACCCAAAGATACAGTATGTCTTCATGGGCGACTACGTGGATCGCGGCGAGCGAAGTGTGGAGATCGTCATGCTCCTTTTCGCCTACAAAGCATTGTGCCCTTCCGGCATAATCCTGCTACAAGGCAACCACGAGCAACAGAGCACAAATTCATATTATGGCTTCAGCAAGGAGGTTGAGTACAAGCTAGACAGGGTAGGCCGCCGCTCAAGAAATCCTCGCCTCAGCCAGTACGCTGGTTACAGCCAGGGTAGCCAGCTCTCGATGCACTCTCGGCAGTCTCAGCTCTGGATTCAATTCAACAGGGTGTTTTCCAAGCTGCCCTTCGTTGCGGTCTCCATGGGGAGCTTCATGGCCACTCACGGGGGCATCTCCCCAAGTTTTGTCAGGGCATGCTCGAACAAAAGGGGGAACTTCCATCAATGCCTGAGCCAGGGTGTTGGTGCGGAGATGGTATGGTCAGACCCGCACGAGGGAGAAGGCTGGGCGACATCTCCTCGCGGCCCAGACTTCTACAGGTTTGGAAGGGAAATCGCCCTCCAATTCTTGCGGTCGAACGGGTTGAAGAGGCTACTTCGAGGTCATGAGCAAATGGCAAAGGGGATTAGCACCATTTGGCTCGACACAAGGCACGAATCTAGGTGGCACGTTGGAAACGTGTCAACTTCCCCTGCATTTGTGAGAGGTAGCTTTTCATACATGCCCTAAACCCCTACGGAAAAAACATCCCTAAACCCTCAACCCTGGAAGCTTGAAAACTCTGCCCAGGAATACGCTGTGCAAACCGTCTTCTCAGCAGCCGACTACGTTGGGACGTTTTGTGTCGACAAGAGCACCAACCACCCATTGCGACCTCCGGCATGGGATCCGCAGATGTTCAAAGCAGGTGGTCAGAGTAATCTTGGGGGTATCTCGGCCGTTCATGAACATCGTTTCCATTTTATGCTTTCCAGCTGTGATCGTATGGAACAGGATCCAGCACTTTGTGAGTAGTTCTCCAAATTTGGGTCCTTGTCGGTCCTGTTCGTATGATTCTGGGGACCCAACAAGGGACCCTCAATTTACAGAACTGCCCATGCTATTGCAAGTTTTGGGTGCCTACAGCTCAGGCATGATGCTGATTGACCATTCCTCCGGCTTCCGCTCCGACTACCACGAGTTTCGCCTTAGTGGAAACTGGGCTCTTGTTAAGGAGTTCAGTTTAAGTGACCACAATACTGAAACCTGATTTGTTTACTGTCGATTCCCTACCTAGTATGGTGAATTCAGTTAAAGACCCTACCGGGAGCCCAGGAAAGGAAGCTCGGAAGCTGGCGAAGGAGGTTACGGGGGCACACTGCACAAGGCAGGCTTTGCATGGGCTCGGCCCGCAACTCTTGAGTTCTTGGGGTTTAGGGTTTGGGGTCTAGGGTTTAGGGTTTAGGGGTTCTAGAGTCTAAAGATATAGGACCTAGGGTCTGGAGGGTAGGAGCTTGAGATTGTGACATTCTTGGGACTTCGCCAGAGGCAGGTAACACTCGTTCGGGTTTGGAGGTGATTTCAGGCTTAGAAACTCATTTGTTTAGGAGTTTTCATTTGGGCACCCGATTAAGGGATTTCCCGGACATGCCCTCTGGCAGTCTACAGGCCATGTCCAAATCCCTGAAGCAAAAAAAAAATATATATATATACACACATATATACATATACATATACATATATGTGAGAGAGAGAGAGAGAGGGAGAGCGAGAGAGAGAGAGGGAGAGCGAGAGTGAGAGAGAGAGAGAGAGACAGACACAGACAAGGCCGATGGAGAGGCCGCCGATGTATGCAGCGAGCATAGCGACCACAGCCACCAGACCATCTTCACCGACCGCCGCGAGGCCGATGCAGAGGCCGCCGAAGATTGCACCGAGCATAGCGACCACAACTGGAGGCCACCAGGGTTTCCTTCCAGACATTTCCAGTTCTACCACAAGGATCACAACGACCAGACGGACAGCAGCGACTGCCACTCCCAGCACCACGGAGGCAGGCGCTACCAACACCGTCGAGACCGGAGAGAGTGCCGAAAAGACCACCACGACCGAGGAGACCGAAGCACATCCCTCGGAAGGGACTAGCACGGCCATGGAGCGGCAAGAGGATGCAGACTCCGAAGAGACGACCCTGGCCGAGACCGTAAAGCATGCAGACTCCGAAGAGACCACGGCCATGGAGCCCGAAGATGCAGACTCCGAAGAAACCACAACGACGATGGAGCTTCGGGTTGAGCATTTAGGCTGGGGGATGCTAGGCTGCTAGGCTTTGACAGAGCTTGAGCTTCGTAGCCGAGGATCTTTGGTATTGGCCTCACGACGATTCCGAGGACGATACCGATGCCCTGCCTCCACCAGAGTTGGGTTGGAAGGACAAGTTCAAGAATTACTTCGGCCTGGCGTTGCTGGAGGAGCGTGTGAATGATCCTGAGACAGAGCAGATCGAGCTTCCCATCCATTGCCGCGAGCGGCTGAGTCAAGAAGAGGCACAGGAACACAAGGACTACGTTCACTCCAGCTTGCTGGAGGCCGAGGACATGGAGTTTGAAGCTCGGAAGATCATTGACCTGCAGGGGGAAGCGACAGTCTGCGAGGGTGCGGAGGAGGCGAGGTCCGACAACTGCCAGGCCATGGCCCGGGATGTCATCACCCTGAAGGTGGGAGTGTATAAGAGGGTTACCAGGAGAATCCCCAAAGTGGAGGGGCGCAGCGCTCAGGCAAACTCCCCTGCAGGTCTTTATGGAGCTGAAAGGCAGCAAGCGGGTCGTCGAAGATCTTCAGGACAACATCGTCGCCCGCGAAGAAGAAGTCGAGGAACTCGTGGGACTTGCCCAGTGAGGCACTTTGCCGGTGATGCTTCGGGCGATTTCCGACATCCTCCGACCTGAGTCTGGAGAGCCTTGAAGAAAAGTTCCGCTGCATCCGGCCGCAGATCATGATCCGAATGTGGAGCTTGCCCCATATTATCCACAGCCCTAAACCCCAAACCCTAAACCCTAAGGGTTCCAGAAGAGGTATAATTGACCCAAATTGCGAGAGAGTTCCCTGGGGCAGGTGGCCTCAAGGGCCAGCCAAGAATACTGGCCAGCCTCAGGCGGCGGCTGACGATTTAGGCTTTAGGGTTTAGGGGCTTAGGATTTTGGGGTTAGGGGTGAGGCAGTGCTGGCAGTCATCAAGTCCGGTTTCAAAAGGGGTTTAGGGTTTAGGGGTTTAGGTTTTAGGGGTTGAGGGTTTAGGGTTTTGGGGGTGAGGCAGTGCTGGCAGTCATCAAGTCCGGTTTCAAAAGGGGTTTAGGATTTAGGGTTAGGGGTTTAGGGGTTTAGGGTTTCGGGTTTAGGGTTTAGGGGGGTTTAGGGCTTTAAGGTTTAGGGGTTTAGGGTTTAGGGGTCTTTGGAGAGAGAGGCCATTCTGTTGTCTCGCATGGGTCGGTCTCTTTGCTGCAGCTCGCATAGTCGTTGGAAGCATATTGCAGAAACATCTCTATCAGTGTGCTCCTTTGCAAGGCATCAAACCTAGAGACCTAGAGTTTAAAGCTCCAGCCTTCAGCACCAGGCTTCTCCGGCCTTATCGACCTCGTCTTCCTTGTAGCCGACGCTCTACGTGATTCAGGTTTTAGATCAAAGTCTAGAAGTTTAGACAACCCTAAATCCTAAGCCCTATAAAGGTTTAGAGCAGCGGATTCCCGGGCTTAGGGTGGGGCCGGGGGAGGCAGTCAACATAAACCTCTACGAGCTCTAGCCAGGCCTGCATGAGCTTTATTTGGTGGGGCTTCATGAAACCCCGGACGCGTAGTTTGGGTTTTTTTTGGGGGGTGTGAGCTTCTGAGCTGCAGTTGAGTACCTTCGAGAAGCCACGAGCTTGAAAAAGCCATAGCCCTAAAATCCCTAAGCTTCTACGCCCCAAAAGCCCTGGAGCCTGGGGACAATTCCCGAAACCCCTAGACGGTTTAGGGTCTAGGGTTTAGAAGTGGAAATCCTGTTGCAAAAAGGGCACTAAACCCCAAACTGACCAGGAGCCCGTCTCCCCGACTCCCGAGCACTTCCGTTTCTCGGCCTCGGTACGCGTGGGGAGAGTGGAGAGCGACCTGTGAAGAGATGTGGGTGGTCCTCTAAGTTTTCGGGTCCCTTTGATTTAAGGGTTCTTTTTTTGTTATAAGGGTGCCGCACTATTTCGGGGACGTATGAATGGACCCTAATTTAGAGAACTACCTAATTCTGTGGGGTTGCGTTCAAGCACTGGGGGCGATCCTTGTGATAAGTTCAGGCCCCTGGTCAGGCTCCGGACCAGGAGAAGCGTCAACCATCGGACGCCATTTTGGGGTGGGGTGTGTGTCCGTTTGTACATCACTCGTCTCAAAGGTCCCCGGCCCCATAGCCAACCCGCCCCCATCTGAGCCTGCCAATCGTATCCAGCCTGGCTGTTGGCGATCCTTTCTCTATCCGTGTCCCTCATCTTCTTGGCCAGACGAACAGCGAAAAAGAGGCTTATTCTTTGCCACCACAACAAAGCCCCAAACCCTAAACCCGCCAGTGCAAGTGCCAAATCCAAAAAACAATGCAATAGCATGAGTCAAAACATGAAGGGCGTGGACACCCTGAGCATGGGCCCAGGCGACAAGGCCCGCGTTGCCAGCGCATCCCTGGAGCACGTGGCGAGAGGAAGCCCATCTTGCAATGATGTGGGGTTGGAGTTGTGGATCTTTAACATAGGGGCATTAATAATTACCGATGCTATTTTGGGGGTACCTGATTATAAGTATAGTACAATGGGCCCCAAAACCCTATTCCAATTATCAATACAGGCCCCTATATTATTACGATTGAAGGGTTGGGAATTTCGGGGTTCGGGAGGCTTTCGTGCCAAAGTTGCATTTTTGGCGAGAGGGGCTGTTTTTGAGGATTAGCAGCGAATGGCTTGGGCAATTAATACATCCAGATACTGCCATGATACAGCCGGATGTAGAAGAAGGAGAAGCTAGCAATCCAAATCCACCTTTACGGATGGTGCAGGCTTAGGGGAGTGGGGAGGCTACAAATGACACCGCGTGGTAGCAGACTCTTCCTCTGCTGTTGTTTATTCGTGAGAGCGACACAGTGTTTGAGTAAAGTCAGGGGTGGCTTGTTTTTGGGTCCTTATGAGTTATGAGAGCCGGATCCTACCATATGGCCATATCGGGGTAGTCGATAGTGGGTCCTTTTTCTTTTCTGCCACTCCCGACGGTAACACCCCCGAAACCCTATTCTGTTTCTCAAAGCCCCTATTTGGTTTCTAGACACCCCTGGGGTTGAGGCCAGCGTCTCATGCAAACGCCCCAAGTGGAAGGCACAGCAGGGCCAACACGTCCAAACTTAAGCTCTCATGCTTTGCTCCATTGCCGGAACTTCATAGCTGCGGCTCCGCCGCTGTCGTTGCCAGCGCTACCCCACCAGACAAGAAAGGCCGAGGACGACGTTCAGGTTGCGGTTTGGGTTTTCAGATCCGTCGTGATCCCTGTCAGGGCTTGCACGAGCATCGACCCACCCCCAAGTCCCTCCAAAACTATAAAGGCCCCTAAGTTGTCCTGCGGCCCACAGGATTCCCCAAACCATTCGCTGGAGCTCGAAGCCCAGGCCCGCGGAGAACCGCGAAATTTGGAAGAGTAGATCTGGTTTTCAAGCTGGTATAGTATAGTATATTAATGTTGTGAGTAGTAGTATAGTAATAGTATAGTAATAGAAAAGGACAGTTACTATAGTATAGTATAGTATAGTATAGTATAGTATAGTATAGTCACAGTACAGTACAGTACAGTACAGTACAGTACAGTACAGTACAGTACAGTACAGTACAGTACAGTACAGTACAGTACAGTACAGTACAGAACACTACAGTACAGTACAGTACAGTACAGTACAGTACAGTACAGTACAGTAAAATACAGTATAGATAGTACAGTATAGTATAGCATAGTATAGTGCAATAATAATGTAATATAGTATATAGTCTATAGTATAGTATAGTACAATAGCAAAGTATGGCCAAATGGCGGTGATCAGTCTAGAGGTCTCGTTTTACGAGTGAGCCATCTGCTAGGATGCTGGGGATGACGACTTCAAGCAGTGCGAAGCAGTGTCGTATTTCGCTCTTGGTGCCGTCAGCTTCGCAAGGTCCCGACAGTGTGCATTCATTTTTTGGATTGTTGGTTTGTCTGTGTGCGCGCATGTGTGTGTGCGTGTGTGTGTGCTTGTGGGTCAAGAGCGAATAAATGATGTAAACTTGAGGTTCGGGTCTCGTCCAGCACTCTTGATTTTGTTGCAGCGGGTTTCGGAACTTTGCGGTCCCACGCTTTCTTGGAGATTAAATAGGCGAACCCACCCCTGAACCCTAAACTCTAAACGCTCAACCTGGACCGACAAGATTTAAGTCTAAAACGAGATTTGGGGCCCATTATACTATACTTATAATAAGGAACTTCCCAAATAGTATAGATAGCTATTCAAGAAATATTGATTTATAATATTCACACTAAAACCTGCGAAATTAGATATATAAGATTATATTTAGATTAATATTGACCCAGCAAAAATAAAATATATAAACCCAAAGTGAATATTTATAAAGAAAGATACCGATATAGATTGTTAAATAAATATATAAGCATACGGGGAATTATTAGTGCCTTATAATTTATAAAAATTTTGAAGCTCTAATTATTTTTATAAGATTTTGGAATTACCGCTTTCTATCTCCTCTCGAAATAGAGTTGATTTGGATATTATATAGTCTTACTAAAGTTATCTTTAGCATTTAATTATTGCATTAGTTTGAATATGATATTTATTATATATTTGATATATGAACTATTCTAGAGAATCTGACTCTCAAGATTATTATTTAATTCTATAATCCAGAGTTTCTGAAAATAATATTATCTTTGGGATTTAATTGAAATTTGCTATATATTCTATTTTTTAATTATTTCTAATTTTGAAATTTTGCTATTTCTCTTCGATATGATAATCTTAACAATAGTTAGATAGCATTCGAGATTAATTACCTATTGCGACCCAATATATA